ATCAATCCTTAACTGTGGAATGTGGATGAATAATTATCCTGACACATCCCAATATCCCCACAGTTTATTCAGAAGTGGGATTCGAATACTGCGCGTGTGAAAGATATAACTCGAGACAAGCATTGTGAATGCCGTGAGTACAGACAATTTCGTCACTGTGAGTGCGAAAGTGAGAAAAAACGCAATATTCGGCTGGTTACGAGCGTTACGACGTCTATGGTGTACTCTGTGAGAGGCACGTGCGGAATATTCTTGCGAAGATATCCGAGTATTGTCGTTACCGTTGCCGTTCTGCGAGAACGTTGAAGCCGATCGTCGTTTTGAATCGTCTGTTACTGTGTCGCTACCGAGTTATCATGGAACCACCGAAAGGTAATAATTTTACCGTGATCGAATTAAAAGAGGCTCTTCGCGAGAGAGGATTGTCCTCTACAGGATCGAAGGCAGAATTAATCCAACGCCTGAGTGAATACGATCCAAATATCTGGAAGACATTAAGTGAGAAACGGAACGGGATACAGGGTGAGCAGACCGATGCAGAGGACTATGCATCGATACCGGAAGAACATCACGAGTCTGAGCTACAGGGAGAGCGGGAAGACTATACGCAACATGAGCTAACATTAATCCGCAAGGAGAGAGAGCTGTTACAAAGAGAGCAGCAGCTACTGCGCAGAGAACGCGAAATGAACCGCTGCGCATCAACGACCAGCGTCACATCGGTAGCTGGCGGAGTTCGAAATCTTCGAGATTTGCTGCCGGAATTCGACGCGAGTGATAACACCTTCTGGAGATGGAAAAAACAGCTTGAATTTGTGAGAAATTCGTATATGTTAGACGACAGCGCTACCAAGATTTTAATAAGTACCAGATTAAAGGGACGAGCGCTTAATTGGTTCTATTCCAGGGCAGAATATTTAACGTTGAGCGTCGAAGATCTCCTACAAGAAATGGTGCAAATGTTCGATTCGCGTCCAAGTAAGTTAACGCTTAGAAAAGAATTCGAAGCTCGCGTTTGGAAAACAGAAGAATCGTTTTGTGATTACTACCACGAGAAAGTGATTCTCGCCAATCGAGTGCCGATCGCGGAGGACGAGCTCCTGGACTATGTTATCGAGGGCATAAGTGACATGCGTCTACAGAATCAGACGCGTATTATGAATTTCCAGACCGGGACGGAACTACTCAAGGCATTCGAAAAAATCCGTCTAGATTCCAAGAGATCAAACGATTTCAAGCAGAAGCAAAGTGATTCAAAATCATCTAGTGCGAAAAACGAAGCGTCATCTACCAAGAAACCAGCGAAGTGCTACAAATGTCAGGGTACCGGACATTTTGCCGCTCAGTGCAAGCGACCAGCAGCGCCAGCAACGAAGAGAGCCTGTTACGTTTGTGGATTATCGGACCATTTGGCGAAAGACTGTTCGGAGCGGAAGCAGCATTCAGTGTTAGAAGCCGGCGGAAAATCGGTGCAGTCTACCACTACCTCGACGAATGTGATACAACCTGCCGTGCTTCCAGGACCGTACATGGTTACCGTAAAAATCAGTCCCAGCGAAAAAAGCGGTAAAGTAGACACTTATGTGATCGACGCGATAATTGATTGGGGTTCACCAATTAGCATCATTCGTAGTAGCGTCATCGAAAACGAATCGCGTTCTGCTGTCGAGGGTGACACTAGTCAGTTTGTCGGAATAAACGGTGCGCGACTTAAAATCTTAAATATCTTTCATGGGCAGGTAGAAGTACGAGGTGTGAGTACAAAAATAAAATTCTATACCGTGCCTGACAATACGATGGCGTACAAAGTACTCTTAGGACGAGATTTTCTAGCGTGTCCGTTACTGCGAATTACACTCGGAGATGATGTCGAGATTGAGAATGTCGAAGAAAATAGCGTTACACAAATAATGCATGTCGAGACTAGTGAAGAGCGAAATAATATTCGTGATAAATTACAAGTGAATCCCGCCATAGGTGTGAACAAGGTCGAAAAGATTTCTGAGATTTTCGAGACGCATTATATTCCAAACTTTAATGCAGAGAAATGCGGACCTGATTTCGAGATGAATATTGCGCTGAAACACGATCAGTCAATAAGTTCCCGTCCGCGTAGATTGTCGTTTGTAGATAAAGAAAAATTGCAAAAAATTTTGGATGAGCTGTCGAGAAAGAAAATTATTCGTCCAAGTAGTTCACCATACGCAAGTCCTATAGTATTAGTAAGAAAGAAAACCGGTGATCTCAGATTGTGTATCGATTACCGAGAGTTAAATAAAATAACAATACGTGATAATTTTCCAACTGAGTTAATCGATGATAACATAGATCGGTTAAAAGGTAAAAAATACTTTTCTATTTTAGACTTGAAAGATGGATTCCATCATGTGAAAATGCACGAGGCATCAATAAAATTTACATCATTTGTAACCCCGTTAGGACAGTATGAATATTTACGGATGCCGTTTGGTTTAACAAACGCGCCACGCGTATTTCAGCGCTTTATTCATACCGTGTTTGAGCGTCTTGTGAGAGAACACAAAATATTGTTATACCTAGATGACATATTAGTAGCTACCGAGAGCTTGGAAGAGCATTTTGAGATCTTGTCTGAATTGTTCGAGTTGGCTGGTAAAAGTCATTTACAATTCCGATTAGATAAATGTTACTTCGCCCAAACAGAAATAAAATATTTAGGCTATTGCGTTAATGAATACGGGATACGACCGAGCGATGAAAATATCGAGTCTGTTTTGAATTATCCGATTCCGCGAAATGTAAAACAAATACACCAATTTGTCGGTCTTGCGAGTTACTTTCGTAGATTCGTTCCTAAATTCTCTTTAACGGCCAAACCACTGTACGACTTAATAAAGAAAGGTACTGTTTTCCGATTCGGAAATATTGAGAATCAAGCGTTCGAAGCATTAAGAAATCATTTGGCTAGTAAACCAGTATTAGCGATTTATTCACCGCATGCCGAGACCGAGTTACATTGCGATGCGAGCGCAAGTGGATTTGGTGGCATTTTGCTCCAAAAACAGAATGACAACACCTGGAGACCTATTTCATTTTGGAGCCAACGAACTACCCCCACTGAGGCTAAATACCACAGCTTCGAGTTAGAGTGCCTTGCTGTCGTGTACGCGCTAAAAAGATTCCATGTATATCTTGCAGGGTCTAAATTTAAAATAGTTACCGATTGCGACAGTTTCCGGCTGACGTTAAATAAAAAAGATGTAAATCCGCGAATATCTCGATGGGCATTATTTCTACAGAATTACGATTATAATATCGTACATCGACCCGGAAAGCGAATGAGTCACGTCGATGCGTTGAGCCGATGTCATAGCATATTAGTACTCGAGGGTAGTACATTCGAACGGACTCTGTCTATTTGTCAAGATCGAGATAAAGAAATTCTTAAAATTCGCGATAAACTTGAGAAAAACGATGTAAAACATTACGAATTACGCGATGGGTTGGTATATAGAAAAGACAAGAATAAAAAATTACTTTTTTATGTGCCGCAATCAATGGAATCAAATGTGATCAGAACGTGTCATGATGACATTGGACACGTCGGTATTGATAAGGTTGTCGAGAATGTTGCAAAAGTTTATTGGTTCCCTAACATGCGAGAAAAAGTAAAGCATCACATTGAAAATTGCTTACGTTGTATTGAATTTTCACCACCGAGTGGTAAAGCGGAAGGCTTTTTGCATGGGATCCCAAAGGAATCGTTACCTTTTGCTACGATGCATGTTGATCATATCGGACCATTAGAGAAAACTGGAAAAGGATATCGACATCTGCTCATCGTTATCGACGCTTTTACGAAATTTATCAGAATCTATCCTTGTAAATCCACAACTACCGAGGAATCCGTAAAACACTTACGTGACTATTTTCGTGCGTATAGTAAACCGAAGCGTTTAATCTCCGATAGAGGTACCTGCTTTACCTCTGATGCGTTCAAAGAATTTATAAAAAACGAGAGTATTGTACATGTTCTAGTTGCCGTAGGAACACCGAGAGCTAACGGTCAAGTAGAGCGTTTTAATAGAGTCATAACACCGATGTTGGCGAAGCTAAGCGAAACCCCTTCGCAATGGGATCGAATTTTAAATCGAGTCGAATACTCATTGAATAATACCGTCTGTCGAGCAACTAATGACACTCCTTCCCGATTATTATTCGGAGTCGAACAAAAGGGCGTAACTTGTGACTCATTACGAGATTTACTTAGCACAGATACAGAACGTGACCTTGAACAAATTCGAAATAAAGCTCACGTGAATATAGAAAAATCGCAACTAGAGAATACGAAAAGATACAATTTGCGACGAAAACCGGCGCGCGAATATAAAGTTGGCGATTACGTAGAAATCAGAAACGTCCAGACCACACCAGGCGTAAATAAAAAATTGTTGCCTAAATTTAAGGGACCATATGTTATTCGAAAAGTTTTAGATTATGATCGGTACGTTATCACCGACGTTGATGGCTTTCAGCTAACTCAGCGACCGTATACTGGTATTGTAGCGCCAGATCAGATGCGACCTTATATTCATTGTTAATTTAGTGTTATTAGTGTGTTACTGTAAAATGTGTTACTGTAAAATTTTTACTTGTTTGAATTTTAGCTATAAGTGAATTGTAAGTGTGATTGTTTTCTATTTGTTTGACCGGGACGGTCAAAATGTCAGAATGGCCGAGCTGTAGGCATATTTTTTGTTTTATTTGTTTGACCGGGACGGTCAAAATGTCAGAATGGCCGAGCTGTAGGCATATTTTCATTGTTAGCACGTATTTCGGTTAACTTCTTAGAAGAACGATTCTTAGA